TGTGTGTGTAGCAATTAGATGACTTCTAATGGTTCTTCTAAACAGAAGATTTTAAACTTTTACGAATTACAAAGATTTGTAACCCAATATATTTATTAGTTGAGAGCAGTCACCACTATAAATATTCTGATTAAAAACTATTTCAACTAAAATAGGTACAACTACTACTATTTAAGATGCCTATACAGGCTAACATGTGAAAGAAAATTTATTAGTATCACTTGTAAAACATCACGTAAATGCATTCCTGAAAACAAGTCCCAGAATTACCTGCACTGGACAGAAATTCAGATATTCTGTAATAATTTCTAGTAGGAAATCAGGATTTAACTTCTCAAAATACTCTATTCCAAGTGGTAAATCTTCCAAGTACGAAAAATGAGTGTCCAGGACATCATTTAACAAACTAGTAACTTCTTCTTCTCGCTTATTTTTCTTCATTGCTAGAACTGCATGTAAATAGGTTAATTCCTGGAAAATAAGTAGTTTTCATAAATTATCCATTCAATTTTAAAGCTATTTTTTTTCTATTTAGATAGCAAATGTATATGAAGTGCCATTTATGTATAATTATTTTTTCAAACTTAAGTATAAACTTAGAATTATTTAGCAGAATATTTAAAATCTAATTTTGCATGAAGGTAAAGTAATAAGTGTAACTTAATATTAAAATTAATGTGTACTAGTCCTTTAAAGCCATTATTAAATAGTAAGACCAATTTAAATTTTCATATTTTATAAATAGTAGCTGGGAATTTTCCATCCTGTTTAAATACTGTACCGCAGATTTTCCAATGGACTGCTGAATTTCACTAAGGAATTCTAACTGCTGATCTGCATCCTGTAATTGCCCTTCCATTAACTGACACTGGATAAATCCTAAAACCAAACAGGACAGGAATAGTCAAAGTCCTCATTAATTCAGGCATGTACATTTCAAGCTAACACAAACAACATTCATAAAAAAAGGTTTTTACCCATCACTACAAATTAAAACTTTAGATTTAAAAAAAAAAGAAGAAAAAGGTGAAAGAAAGTAAAATGGGTAGCCTTGGACCCATATAATATTATATACTAAATATAATTTATAGACATTATCTCATAAAAATATATTTTCTTGAAATTTTAAGAAGCAAAAATTTTATTTTTAAAAATTATAACTTTTTTTGTTGTGGATAGTAGAGAACAATTTATTCAAAGCATTTATTTATGACTAATGTAATATGTCCTTAGAGTTAAAAGCCTATTTTACCTGAAATTCACTAGAAAACCACAAATTACATTTTTTCTTCACTGACATATATTGAAAGCAATTACTACTTGCATCTATATTAGAAAATATATTTATTGAAATATTTGCCATACCAATTAGTGCAGAAACGCTAGTCTCATCAAGTGTCATTGCAGTCTTATACCATGTTAATGCCTCTTTAACTTTGCCTTGTAAAATCATTTGGTATCCAAGTTCCGTAGCAAATTCTGAAAGATGAGGGGTTAAACTAAAAGCTTTTTCTAATAATGTTTGAATCTTCTGAAGAATGAGTTGATTCCGTCCACACTGAAAAAAAAATTAAATAAGATTAATGACAAACACTTCTACTCATACTAAAGGATTTTTTTTCCTAAATATATATTTTATTTGTACTTCACAGAGGTAGAGCAAAGAAAAAGAAAATTATTACATCAAGACAGTTTATATGCTATTGGAACTTAAATATTCTTAGTAGTGCTTTTACAAAATAGCTCTCTTGAAAAGTATACTTCTTCTAATAATACTGGAGCCCTGGCAGCACAGTGGGTTAAGAGCTTGGTTGCTAACCCAAAGTTCGGCAGTTCAAATCCACCAACCGCTCACTGGAAACTCTACGGGGCAGCTCTACTCTATCCTACAGGGTCACTATGAGTCAGAATCAACTTGACAGCAATGGGTTTGGTTTTTCTAATAACACTGCTGTATGTTTTTTTTAGAACTCCTTTTTCAAACTGCCTCAGGATTGTTTTACACATTACACAAGAAAATATATTTTATTGAATTAAAAACTAGGAAGTTGTTAGAATTATGTAACTTTTGAATATGACAACTTTTAGAAGTAAAATACTTATTTATATATTTGAATTTTTGTAAACTTATTTTAAAAACTAATCAAAATTATGTGTCTGGCAATAAGATAAATAAAAAAGTAAATATTCTCCTTATCTCAAAATATTTTTAATTGCAGGGATTTTTTTTTTCTAAATATCACATAATCTGTCAATCTTTATTTTTAAATAAGAATTTTCAGTTTATTCGTGTCATTTAACAGGAAATATTCTTTTTTTTTGTCCAGCCACATTTACTGAATACAACAAAATTCTATATACAAAGTAACCTGGACATGCTGCTTCAAAACATGATCCTTTCTTACCAATATTCTGATAGGTTAATCCATTTAGTGCCAAAAAGCGGCTTACTCTAAAATAAATAGAAAAATGCCCAATGCACATTAAATGAATGGCCTAACTACCGGAAATTTAGTAGTTCTGTAAGATAATAAACATGATAGGCTCAAGTCCCTATGATAGGCTGGATAACTGACAGGGGATGTCAAGAGACCATTTTGTGCACTGCCACTGTGATGCCATTGTGTTTCTCGATCGTAACGGTCCCATTATCTGATTCTAGACACACTACGGGAGTATCAGTGGGGTCAGAGGTTAACTTAGCTGATTGCTGGGCTAGAACAGGTATCATCCCAGCATGCTCATCTGACAAGGTCCCATGGCAGCCCAGATTAAGTTCCTGTGAATCTGTACACAAGACTCCAACAATGGACGGATTCTTCATTGTGTCCTCCAAGTGCTGCTCCAAGGTCGTCTCCATTCTACCCCGTCAGCCCTGGTCTAGGATCCCACAGCATGTCACTTCCTTCTCCCCTCTTAACAAGTAATAGTCTTGATTTTTTTCTTTCAATTTCATGTTTGCTAGTTATTTTACTTTTTACTTATATTTTGCTAGTTTAAGTAACTTCTAATTAAAAGTTACATATACTTTGTCCTTAATTTTTGCTAGTTTAATTAAGTAACTTTTCAATCCTTTTACTCCCTTTATTGATTTTGAGTTTCTACTGTATTTTTCTATTCCATTTCTGATAGCCTTTCTTGTATTGGGTTATAATACAACATTGACTTATAATAAAAACACTTCTTCCCTATCATATAAAAATAAAATACCAATTATGTCTCCCATCAAAATAGTCTATCAGCCACCTTCAATTTATTTTTCTGAACAGTTTAAAAACAAAACAACAACAAAAAAACACCAACAACTCTAGTCATACATTCTGTGTTCTGACTGAAGTAAACCACTTCCTATTTTCTTTGCCTGAATGCACTTCCTTATCTTTTAAGGCTCAACAAGTGCCATTTCCTCCATGAAGCCTCCATGTCAGCCTCTTATAGTTGGAAACCATCTCTCCTCTGAATTACCTTTTGTAAGAATATATCACTTATTTTTGCACATGTTGTATTTTCACTCTAGGTCAAATGGTCTTTGCTGCCTTGACCTTTTTGACTTATTCTATATCCCCTACTACAGATAACACAGCTCTGGTACATAGAAGGCACTCTTACAGTTCTGCTGAAGGCTATTGTGATCTTGTAAAAAAGTTGAGCATTCTGTGGTTCCATGGCCTCCAATGTATTTCCTAAGTTTTCCAGCTTGGAGGCCGCCTAAAACAAATGTAATCAATATTAATTTTTAAATGTACTAAAAAAAAAAAAAAAAAAGAACACAATACATGTACATAATACACTAACAAAATATATATGGGTAGACATGACTTACTATTATTTCCATGTAAAAAAACTTTACTTTTACAAATCTCTTTTCTTCCACAGAAATCCTATATGCTGCAAATATATTAAAAGTTCTTTTCAAAACCTCAATAAACATGTAAATAACTCTTGAGTTTTAGATTGTGTTTCTTTAATATTTGTTATTAAATGGAAACCTTTGAATGGGTGAAGATAACCATAATATTCAATTAATTGTACAAGTCAACCTTCTTCTCCAATAATTAATTCATGACACACATAAGATATGAATGACAACATATCTTACAAACATTATTATATGAGATCAGCCTTTGGAAAGCGTATATCTCCTGGTTTCTAGTTAACAATATTTTCTAGAATAGAAAAATCATTAAGATATTTAGCATCGAGTGATGAATTATAGATTTAAAAATCAGGTGATGGTTCTTTTTATATATCTGCAATATCTGCTATAATGTCTAGCATCCATTTTAGAAGCTAAAATATACATCACTGTGAGAAGACAAAACAAAAAGCAGAAAACTTCATCTCATTTGAGAGCTGAAATCTGTCTCTGCATCATGTTATCTGTTTTTCCTGATCTCTATCTTGTCAAAGTGAACCCTCTGGGGCAGCACAAGAATAAATTATATGCTGTCCAAAGGCATGAAAAGCCTAAGATGTCTCCTTGCTCTTCTTTTGGCAAAGCTCTTACGTAGAGTTTTGGAAATTACTCTCTATTGACCCTATCTCACATTTGAAAAGAGGATCTTAACATATTTGATCTTCATACTATATAGATGTGCCTTGCTCCCCACTACAATACAGTTTATGAAACAGATAAATTTGCAATTATTTTACAGGAGAAAGCGTGAAAGAGAAGAGCTTCAATTCAGACTTCCTACAAAATAGAAAGCATGCCTAAAATTTGCAGTTTGATTTGACTCCCCAAAATAGAATTCATTCAGTGTTTTAGGAAACATCTGTTTAAAACATGAGACACATCTGTTTAGGTATGCCTGCTAGAGCATGAACTATATATGTTTTTGTCTAGAAATCTTCAAAAAAGGCAGCAGGGGATAGAAGAGTGAAGAATGGTCTTGAAGTTTGAAGACCAAGATCTAGGCCTGAGCCGGCCACTAATTGTATGACCTGGGGCAAGTCACTTAACCTTTCCTGGGCCTCTGTTTCCGTATCTATAAAAGAAAAAAGCAGGTCATCTCTACTTCAAAAATTTGTGATTATAAGAGAACATTTACTTAATTTCATAAAAGCTCACTTTTACAAAAACTTCGAAAATTTAAAAGCATCCTTCTAGGCTTCATGGATTGACATGTAAATGTTCTGTTTAGAGAAATTTACAGAATTCAGACAATTATGAAGGTCTGCAATACTTTAAAAGATTTAAAGTTCTAGAGTTGTTTATCAACAGTTAACAAAATATTAGCCATTGGACAAAGGCTCTTCAAAAAATCATGGCTTTCTTTTCTTCCATTATATACATTAAATTTTGCATGTTATTAAAATCCTGAAACCTTCAAAAACATTCAAATAGGACTTCCAGGCAACACGGTGCTCTAGGCAGAAGCACCACGCCATCCTTCCACAGCAAAGATCTGAAAAACTAAGCCAAACAGAGAAAACAGCAATCCTGA